GCTGAAGTCATTACAAGCCACTACAATCATTACATGCTTCCTTAATGGGATTTCCAGTATCTGTAATCGGTATCAGCGAGTACTGGAAAAAAAATATCGGTAAAAATAAACAATATGCTGTATAAACAAGTAAACTTGTGACCTAGAATTTCTGTGTCTTGCCTGCAGTTGATTGGATAATCGCAAACATGATGGCCGTGCAGCAGAATGCCTTGGGTCATGTTCGATATGTTCTGAAGGATGGTTTGAAATTTCTTCCTCTGTATGGCTGGTATTTTTCTCAGGTACTTTTTTAAACTCAATGTTTAACTTTTTTAGATGTTTACAAATAAGTGCTCCTTTAGCTAAACTTTTATTTCGTTTTGGTTGCTTTGAATAGAGTAGGGAACATTTTATAATTGTGTTCTGTCTGGGGATGTTTGCCCTCTGTTTTTCCTAGTGACCACTGTCACCAAGGCGGAAAGTAATGGGAAGTCCTCATCTTCACTTCCAGTGACCTTGTCGCTGGAAAAGGAGGTGAAGGAAAAATCTCAGTGGTGACAGCTGTCCTCCCCAATAGGACATAGGCATGGATCCTAATCATTCTCTAATTTTATAGATACTTTCATTACTCAAAACGAATTAAAGCTGACCTGTACCCAAATGTTCAAATTAGGTCATGTTAATATGTTTGGGTGGGGAAAAGTTTTATATAATATTACCATACAAACCTTTAATTTCTTGTAATTTTCAACAACTTTCAACCAGATATTAATCTCAAATACGATTAAATAGACCAAGGTAACCCTCCACTGCTATGTAAATGTAAAAACATGGCAGTAGGTAGCCCTGATCTGTTTCATTGTTTTGGCAATTCAAAGCAAGTGGTTACATTTAGGAAAAAACAAAGAGGAATTTATCAGAACTGGAGCAGACAAAATCTGCAGCAGCTGTTCATGGAAACCAATCAGCTTCTCTCTTTCACTTTCAAATCTTAACTGAACAGACTGAAGAGATACACTGGTTGCCATATGCAACTGCTCCAGATTGTGTCTGCTCCAGTTTTGATAAATTTAAATTCTATAGAAACCTGGAGGACTGAAATACAAGCCCTTCTGGAGAAAATGTTTAAAGCTTCACCTTGCACTTCTCCCATAACTACAAACCTAGATGTTAGCTAATTTGATCTCTGTTGAAGCAAAGGACCAAGGTTCAGACTGACAGGTTCTCTTCAAAAGAGAATGTAACTAAAGGCCTAGGATATGGTCATGTGACTAGCACTTGATAGAGCCTGGGAGACATTTTCTTCAGTAAGGCTGGGTTCACACCTAGGCGTATTGAATATGCGCGTTTGTCACGCGGTTCGCGTCGCACGTTTTTACCGCGATTCGCGGTAAAAACCGTGCGACAAACATGCGTTTCCGTGGGCTACTTGGCTGTATCCCAATGGAAGCACGAGACCAAAACGCCCCAAAGAAGTACATGCACTTCTTTGGGCGTAGGCCGTTTTGTATAGCGTTCGGACGGGCGGAAATACAGCAAGGTGTGAACCAGACCCATTGAATACAATGGGATTTAGATGTTTGAGCGTTTTGTAGAGCGTTCGTCGAGCATTGAACACGCTACAAAACGTTCAGGTTTCACACCAAATGCAGAGCAGATCCGCTCAGGTTTCTGCACACGCAGTGCAGTGGGTTGTGCCACGTTTTTTGCCGCATTTTTGATGCGTCCCGGGCAGTTTTTGGTAAAAAAAAAACCATATATATATATGGCCTACAGTGTGTTCCAGGCGTTTGCATGCGTTCCAGAGCAGGTAAAATAGGGCTTCCTGCAGTTTTTTCACCTGCTCTGGAACTGCTCGCTGCAATGTGAACTGGAGCTAAAAATACCATTGGAATACATTGGACGCAGTTTTGATCTGGTATGCAACTGCTCTGCACCTGCTCCGCGCTTGGTGTGAACAAGGCCTAAAGGTAAGCAAATGTACCTTTCCGTTACTGCTTCATTTCCTGCCCAAGCATAATGTAAACATAGTTGTAAATGCAACCTGTATTGAGAAAAATGTGTGGGCATATTTTGCTGACCTTCCCTTGAAATTCTGGCTGCTTGGCCATTGCTTATGTAATAGCTTCAGTGCTTTCTGAATCGCTGATCTGGAACAAGTAGTCAGATCAGGGGTTTTGACATCCCCAACGGTGAAAGCATTTAAAAAAAATAATGGCTTAGTCACTCCCTTTTCCCTTGAGTTTGTGAGTGTTCTTTGACACTGGGCACATAGGGAGTGGTTTCATTTGACCTTGAACAGGACCGACACTGGATCACAGAGCGGGGATTCTGCAAGGGGAGACTGTAACCTGTAGTTTAGCTTTAGGGTTAATGTATAGGTCCACCTTGTGTGTTGAAGTGGTAGTTGTGTTAACCCACACTGGAGGCTCATTGACCTTCAAATGCAGTTGATGATGTTTATTACTATGACCGTTAATTGAGAACTGCACACACAGTGGAATCATTTTCCATCAGCGGAGGGGGCTAGCGTACAGTTGCTCACTGGCTTTGTAAACGTGTTTGGTATCCTGTTGGCAACTTCTCCTTTGTCAGCTCAACAGACCATATCACTGGGGCTGATGTACCAACGGGCAGTTTTATCCTAACTTGTGTTCATTTTAAATAACTGGTCAGGATCTGGTGGAAATTCTGTATTTGTAATTCCCCTGTGTGGTTCTGCGAGGTGGCCACAGTCCAGTCAGGGTTACTTCTTTAGTAAATCAGCTCAACTCAGGTCCAGTCGGTTACAGTATATATTCCTGTAGATGATCTACTACGGGTGGGTGACACTCATCTATCAAAAGCCTGTCACTCATTTCTGAGGTTTTCTCTACTGTCCGGTTATTGGGGGAAAAGGTGATTAAATGTGTGATATTATTACCTTATTCTCTAGTGTATGTTTGCTTTTTTAATTAAATTACACTTCAATAAAGACTTGATGGTGATGACTTCTAAACCTAAATAAAAAATTACAGCATTGTCAATGCTGCAGATTGTATAATAGATGTCTTTTATGATCTGTTTATTCCTAATTTCTTCACAGCATGGGGGACTATATGTTAAGAGGAGTGCCAAGTTTAATGAAAAGAATATGAGGAACAAGTTGAAATCTCAGATGAAGGCTGAGACTCGGGTAATGCATAAAAATATACGCACATCATGAATTTTTGGCTTCATATTTGTTTCCTGGGTGAAACATTGCAGAAAGTTCTTGAATTAATTAGCTAGCACTAAGATATCTGGTTATTAATGACCTCACACCAACTGCTAGGACACAAACCTACTATTCAGTGTTGCCCATATGATAGCCTCGGAGAAGGAACATATGTTTTCTTTTTACTACATGTTTTAATTGTAAATGAAATGTCATGAAAAATAGCTTTTATATATGAGTAATGTAATGCTCTGTAGCGCTTTAAGGTTAAATTACCCCTGCAATTACTGTGTCATACATATGCAATAATCATACATCAATATTCTACTCTGAGAAGTGTGAAAGCCTGTAAGCGGCTCCTGGGGTAAATATTGTGTATAATGTGAATGTAAAATGACACTGTCAAAACAGTTTCCTCAATAATCTACATGTATGAGACTGGGAAGATTTTTTTTTTATAGTTGCGTAGCGATGCCATGGGGAAGTTTCAGGCATAGGCGTGACTTGATTAGCATCCTGCTATTTTCTTGCATCCTTTTAGCTTTAAAAGGCATACAGATGTTCTCAGAATGGATCATTGGTCTTCATTCCCTGCAGACGTGTGTTTGTGTGTGATAAAAAAAAATATATATATATTATATACACCCACACGCGCAGTGGAGTGCACAGAAGTGCGCAATGGTTTAGTGTGCAGTGGCAGCAAGCCCAGAGGTGGATGGGTGTTAAAGTGGGGGCATGAGGGACAGATGGTGAAAGAGGGTCGAGAGATTAGGGGTTGGTGTACGGGGAGGGGCGGGATTGTGATCTCCTATGGTGGTGGATCATGGGGTGATTGGTGTGGTGGCGGGGTTTCAGGCATGGTGATGAGAAGAGAGAGATGCATGATTATTGGTGACGGAAGGAGGGGTGGGGTTTCTGGCATAGTGGTGGGGAGAGTGGTAGTTGCAGGCACAACAGTGAGTAATTCCTCCGTGAGTTGCTGTCAGCTGTTACTCCAGATGTAGTCCTTGTGCTACTGTACATATGCCCTGGGGTGCCAATTTAAATGAAGGGCACCATAATGCATGGAACTTGAGTGCCTTGTGTTAAAGATGCGGTAATGCACACCTTACCACAATGTATAGATCTGAAGGAATGCTAAAGGCTATCTATACTTTCAAATAACTTAATTCGAATGACCCCTTTCCTCATGCAAGCTAAATCCCCTTTCACTTATGGGCAATGGTGTCCAGGAGCTTACACCAAATTGGGTGGCACTCAGTTGGAGAAGCCTTTAGTATTCGAGCCTGTGAAGAAACCATTACCCCTGACATAGCCTGTATATTGGTACCTTTTAGGCTGGCAATACACATCTGATTTTTGTGAGCAATGAAACCAACATATAGTATGGCTTGACAAATTTCGAGCCCTGAAATTTGTCCTCTGTGTGTGTCCTGAATGTGTCCAGCTATCACATCAGGGGTGAGTTAGTTAAATGTTTGACCAAATCTAGCAGGCTCATTTTTCAGTTGATAATTTTGTATGGCCCATGAATGATGTTATAAATATCCAAATGGCCCTTGGCAGAAAAAAGGTTCCCCACCCCTGCGTTATAGAGTTGCAGTAAAGATTGTCCATTATCTTGCAAGATAATCCTGCAATTTGTTAGAAAGATTTCTTGCCACCAGTGGCCAGTTAATTCTCTTGTATGTATGAAAAGGAATATGACTGATTCTGGTGGCACTGTCTTTTTTAGGGATGAGCAGATCCTTCACCACCTATCATTTTGGATGAGACATTTGCCTATCTATCGCTAGTAATATTGTTGCCAAAATACTCTTAAGTGTTAGCACATGCAAGCATCATATGTCAGTCAAAATTTGCATTTTCATATTGCTTTCAAGAGCTTTTCCTGCTGCCTCTGAGATCTGTAAATCGTATGGCTTAAGCTGTGACTCCATGACCGATGTATGAAGAATTGCTGCTCTAGTTGTTCCTTTAATTATTCAAATGTTACAAGCATCATAGTTTTCCAGTATTGGCAAGTCTGTGTCTGACTCAAATCATTTAACATTTTTGTAACCTCTGTTAGTTTCAGCATTACGTAATGGAAGCCTCTGTGAACAGTGTGAAACCAAGGGGTTGTAAATCATAAACTCAGCGCTCTGCAGCAATGAAACTCGTGTGTGTGTGTGTGTGTGTGTGTGTGTGTGTGTGTGTGTGTAGTCCATACATGGCCCTAACAAGGAATAGAACAACTCTTTGCATTCAGGTCGGATTCAGTCCTCCTTGGAATACTATCATACAAATTCTGAACTGTGTGCAGTAGGTTTTTGCACCATTTTTGAAGAGAAAATCGTTTCCAGTATTTTAATAGATGAAAGAGCTGGAAAAATGTTGCTCTCTGCACTGCAGAGCCTCCCATAGTGGTTTGGTAATGTTTGTGGTCTGGTAAATGAGAAAGCCCTGAAAGGTTTTCGTCTTGATCCCAGTATTCTTGAGACCATTCTTGAATTTGTATAGCATTGTGCACTCAGGAAATGATCACCCAGTTATACCCCGTTATATATGTGAACATCATGAGACAACAGTGAGTGCACCTGGTCCTGCAAAGTGGACTCATTTACATGCATAGCACAACTAGCACAAGATGGCTGTTTGTGCTTTAATGGACCCTTGGGTTGAACTCCAACTTTAATAAATATATTTTCCCTGGCAGGGATCCTGTAATACACTGTAGTAGCAGCAGCGTCTTCCGGGTCATTGAAACAGCTGCTATGCTGAGCGTCTTGACATCATGGCACTGCTCCTCGTCCAGTTAGAGAATGCCTAGTATTCAGTAAGAAAACTATTAGGCCTCCTCTAAATGGCTGCTATAATCAGTGACTCTGTGTTATAACAGCACAGGGAAATCACTCGGCATAGTGGCTGTAGCAAGGACCCTTAAGACACTGTAATACATTGTAGTAGCTACAGTTACTACAGTGTATTTACAGGATCCCCATGGCCCTGCCAGGGATCATACAGACAGACTTAAAGCTGGAGTTCTTCTTCATCAGTGTTTAACACTTGCAGCATACAATGTGTGTTGAAGGTTTTCTTTAGCTTTGCCCAAGTATAGGAAATGCCATGAAAGATGACACATTAGAACATATCCAGAAAACAATAGGTCCCCCTGCACTCCTTACAGCACTTCCTGTCCAAGTGAAAATAGTGGTAATTTTAGGGTTGTACTTTTGGTAAATATTGCAGTTTTCTTGTAAACAATTTTTTAGTTCCTGTGAATGAACTTTAGATTTTTATAAGTGTTCATTTTTGCCACTGCAGTGTGTCCATGTTGGTCATGATGTATTATTCATTTGACTCTGTTCACCTTGTCACATTAAATCATTTTAATGATCTTTTAATTGGTGCACCTGAAATTTAAGCGCCAACTATTTGCTCTCTGTAGAACTCTTTGTTCCCCGTTTTTTTTAAAAAAACAAAGTGCAAACAGACACTCCTTTTTTATAGCTAACTTGCCAGTCATCATACTATATGTGTTTGTAATTGTGATGGTAAAAAAAAAGTGAAGGTCAGAGCATTAGATCTACATACTTGTTTCAGGTCTGTGACTTTGGTATAATTAAAGCCAGAGAGAACATTTAACAGCTAAGCAGCTTTCATTTTTCAGTGGCAGAGTTCAGACATGGTAGCCTATGTTTTACAGTAGCTCTCGAAGGTCAGAGGAGCACCAGACATGGCATTTATTAAAAAGCTTGCATCTAGGATTAGATGCATATACTTATTAAATCAAAGGTAACCAAACTAGGGCAATTTGGTACGTAGCATGTGGTATGGGAAGGAAGACAGTCTAGGTCAGGGGTGCCCACAATTTTTGTGTTAAGATCTACTTTTCAAATGACAAGCTACATGAGATCTACCAACAAAATAAAACCTCCCCCGTGCTCCTGCTCTCCTCGCTCTCCTGGCTGTCTCTCCTGGCTGTCTTTCCTCGCTCTCCTGGCTGTCTCTCTTTGCCCATCCTACTGGCTGTCTCTCCTTGCTTTCTCTAAAGTCGCTGCTCTGCAATATTACAGAACCTCGGGAAGCTAGACCTCCTACTTTTCCTCCTTTCGTGCTCAGCCCTCCATCCTAAAGTCGCTGCTCTCATGCTGTCGACCTCTACCTTCATGTGTCAGGCGCAGCAGACGGAGAGGGGCTAAACGGACCGTAGGAGGGTTTTCGGGATAGTGAGCTGACTTACAATCATGATCTACCAGCATCAGCTCTGTGAGCTACTGGTAGATCATGATCTACCTAATGGGCACCCCTGGTCTAGGCCCTAGAATGAACAACCAGCTAGGGTATGATTGGAGACAACTAATGCTAGGTGGGTACTGATTGCTGTGTAGACAGGGTGCTACACTTCTACATCCTGGAAATTAAACAAAAACAAAACACCCAGTTAGCTGGTCCAGAGGTACTTCAGGTCGAGAAGCAGGTGTAACTGACATGCACTGGGAGCTTAGGGTGTCTTTGCGGTTCCAGCCTGCAGGAGTAAGTTAAGTAATGAAGCCAGTAAGGGGGAAAATCAGAAAGTGGTCTGCTTTGTGTAGCTTCAAATACACCAAGTTGGCAATCCGCACAGTCCGCTAGTTGTAGTAGCCAGTCCATAGGGTCTGTGATCTCCAAGAGTAAAAGGATGCCACAGCTTGCCACTTTCCAGCTGGTCCACAGAAACTCCATGTCCAGCTGCACCAATCAACAACTCCCCATCATGTGGACTCGATGGCTTTATATCTTCCCCCTGGATTAGTGTACATGGTAGGTTCTGTAAGGAGACGAAAGCTGGCTGCCCACCCCACAAGAACACTCCATTAAGTTCTAGAAAGTTTAAGAAGGAACTAGCTCCTCCCAGAAAGGGGGTTGCAGCCAGGTTGTAAGAAAAGCCGGAATATTCCAGAAAACTGCAGGATAACCTTTAACTTGTCACAAACCATGTAAATTCCATCCAGTGA